TCTGGCTTCAGCTCGTGGCCTCTAAGCTCAAGGTGCTGTGTTCAATCTTAGTTGCAGGTGGGCGTAGCCACCATCCCATGCAGGAGTCGAACCCAGCAGCCTTGTTCAGAGCACGCGCTCTGTCTACTAAGCCATCCGGGCAGCAGCTCAGCTCAAGGTGCCAAGCTCAGTCTTAGTTGCGGGTGGGCATAGCCACCATCCCATGCGGGAGTCGAACCTGGCAGCCTTGTTGTTAAGAGTGCATGCTCTATCCACTGAACCATCCGGGCAGCAGCTCAGCTCAAGGTACCGAGTTCAGTCTTAGTTGCGGGTGGGCATAGCCCACCATCAAACAGGCAATCTTGTTACACCAGCTACGCGATCCTGTCACCTGTTGGCAGCTCAGCGACAGCTCAGCTGTCACTGGCCCATGTGGGATCGAACCAGCAGCCCTGTTGCTCAGAGCTTGCGCTCTTAAGCCAACTCTTAACCAACTGAGCCACTCAGCCAGCCCTGTTTTTCTATTCTTTTTAGGAAGAAAACTAATAAAGCTAAGATTCAGAAAAATAGGTTTGATGCAATATATGTTTCTGTAATAATCAGCCTCCACATAGACTAGACTGCTTTAAAGATTTGATAAAATCATAAACAGAAACTTTTGGTTCTCAAAGAATTACAGTACTTTTTAATTGATTTGTTTAAGCAGATTCTCTTTTGAATTATTACATATTGTATTTATGGACTATAATGATTTTAGGTGACTTTAATATGAAAATGTGATGGGTTAAAGTGATGTATATGCTTTTTGTTTGGATTGTGGATAAAAGTTTTATTCAGCAACATTTATTCAGAATTTCCTAGGTTTAAAAAATGTACTAGGTAGAGAGGCTTAGTCTCCCCTCAAGGAATTTGTAGTTAGTCAAAGAATGGCAGGGTAGCTCCTCACAAGTCCATAAAAAGTCCTAAATCAGTTTTTCTGGAAGTGCGGAAGAGGGAGAATCACATCTATTTGAAAGGTACAGGGACATTTTTATAAAACTATAGGCATTTAGTTGAGTCTTGATAGATGCATAAATCAAACTATCTTTGAATAAATGGGGCTCTATTATGGTATGTTTAATGAGAATGAAAACTGTCTTACTCAAACCTGTCTTAGGTAGGAGTTACAAAGGTGAAAAAATATAGATTGTTATAAGAAAATAAGAGATACTTTATTTGCCTTCTTTAAATGCAAAGGGAAAAAAATCCTTATTGAGGTATAAGATGAATTACGGTATCATTCATTTAACCATTATTTTTGTTTCAGTCCCAATTGTCATGTAGCTCTTGGGTTTTCCAGAACATTGTTACCTTATATTTGGGAATTTCTCATTCTAGTTCAGGAGTCCTCAAAGAACTTATTTGATTTATCCTGAAGTCCTGCCAGGTAGATTACTCCGAGGCAATTTCTCTCGCTCTCGCTCTCGCTTGCCTGGACTTCCTAATAGAAAGGGAATTAATATTCTTTAGCCCCAACACCAACTCTTACCTACCCATCTGGGTAATTTCTTTGTTAGAGATGAATTTCTGATCTGCCTGAGTTCTGATGCAGCCTATAAATGTTCTCTCTTCTAGATATGGCCTCTCTGGCAGTGATGTCCTAGATAATGTAGCATATGCTCGTGGGTTCAACACAGACCACCAGACCCAGCTACTGTACCAAGCATCAGCCATGATGGTTGAGTCCAGGTATGTGCTCAGTAGAAGACAATGAATATGTTCCCAGGGCCCTTATTCTGAATCTTGAATAGACTATTTGGCCAAATTGATAGTAGCTTGAATTAGAAATGGGGCGATTTAAGTTTTAGTTCCTATTTTGACACTCTTGCTTTGTGGTTAAAGTCAAGTCACTGTTAAAAAATGAAGCCATAACCCACCTAAACGTGTTAGAAATTTTAACTTGTTATATGGTACCTCAGTGTAACTGAATATGAAATTTTAGCATAGTGAGGAAGGAAGCACAATCTGACATAAGCTAGAAATAGGCTTCAGAGAATCCTTGTTCCTTGTAGGTATGCACTGCTGATTGTAGACAGTGCCACCGCTCTCTACAGAACAGACTATTCCGGTCGAGGTGAACTTTCAGCTAGGCAAATGCACTTGGCCAGGTTTCTGCGGATGCTTCTGCGACTTGCTGATGAGGTAAGTTGTTGGGTAGGGACAGAGAATGCCTAATTTCAGAGGCCACCAATTCCAGGAGCCTTGCTGAGAGGCCAAGATATCAGGGTCTGGTATCATCACGATATTATCAGTTAGATATGAAGAGAGATAGTAGTCATTCACTAGTTTGTGGGGGAAAGGGTAGCAGCAGTAAGGTCCTTGGAATGTCTGTGGCCACAAAAAATGACATTTATCTTTTCCACATCAGTTTGGTGTAGCAGTGGTAATCACCAACCAGGTGGTAGCCCAAGTGGATGGAGCAGCTATGTTCGCTGCGGATCCTAAAAAACCTATTGGAGGAAATATCATTGCTCATGCCTCAACAACCAGGTAAAGTGATGGGGTAGATGACCTCATTTTGGAATGTAATGTTAACTGTGAAGTAGACATGAAGATATAACATTTCCATTTGAACACTGTTAAAGCAAAGGAGCCTTTGCTAAATCTAATTGTAATGTTCTGGGTAGTGTAAGTGTTTGCTTTTAGTTCATAAAGGAATTAAAAGCCTTCAAATGTGGAGGACTGAATATGAAGAATTCATATGTTTCTCCCTCATTATTAAAAGAACATAACTGTTTTAATATGGAAAATTCACTAAGCGGGGAAGCAGGGTAGAAATGGATTCCTCCAAGTTGGAAGTGCCCTAAGGAATACAGAAAGATCCCCAAAGTCCTAATAAGTATATACATCCCCAAAATATTTAGATCTACCATAAATAGGCATAGAATTTTTTTATTCCCCCCTTTAAAATTTTTCGATTAGTTTATATAGTATTATTTTATATTAATTTCAGGTGTACAACATAGTGGTTAGACATTTGTATAACTTATGATGTGATTCCCCCTGACTAGTACCCACCTGGCACTATGCATAGATATTACCATATTATTGACTATATTCCCTGTGCTTTACTGTACATCCCCATGACTGTTTTTATAACTACCAATCTGTATTTCTTATCCCTTCACCTTTTTCACTCTGTTCCCCATTTCTCAGCATTATAAATCTAGTACTCATCTGAGGAATAGAATTTTTAAATTATAATAACTTTGGTGTTTTGGTCTGTGTTTGGGTCAGACTGTACCTGAGGAAAGGAAGAGGGGAAACCAGAATCTGCAAAATCTACGACTCTCCTTGTCTTCCTGAAGCTGAAGCTATGTTTGCCATCAATGCAGATGGAGTGGGAGATGCCAAAGACTGAATCATTGGGTTTTTTCCTGTGATAAACCTAAGTGCTGCAGCCTAATGGAGAAGACTGCTCCCTGGGGTTCTTCGCAGGCCTCTTCCTGTTGTGACTTCCAGAAACAGGCTTCCAGAAAAACAGCTATTGTATCAGCTTTTCTGATGATGTAAACAGGAGACAGGTCAGTAGTCACAAACTGATCTGAAATGTTTATTCCTTTGAGAGTGTATTAATCTCTGTGTGAATTCTTTGGTTTTGGTGGGGGCGGTGTATGGAATACCTTTGACATAGTGCCTTGAGGTTGACTCAGGACTGACAGCTGGACAATCTTGTCTCCAAAAAAGACCTGACTCTTCTCTGTCTGAATAATGTTGAAAAAAATGCCTGAGTTATGTGGCAAAGGGAATGGGTCTCCTGACAGGTTTTTTTTCCTCTGTCAGTAAAACTGTCAGTCAGAGGTTTTTAAGTTTGTATGCCTGAAGTAACTTACGTAAGAATTTGTTTTAGTTAAGGGGCACAGAGCAGACCTGCTGGGGCACCAGCCCTTCACCCTCTACTTTGCTTGGGATTTTTTTTTTTTTTACTGCTCAGAGCAACTCAAGATAATTCTGGAATTTTAGGCATTCCAGAGGCTAAGTAAGTAGATTCAGCGTAGGTCTGCTAATAAAGTAGTTATTTGTACTAAATGTGCTGTTTATAGAAGTTATTCTGGTATGAGCTAAGTATGCAAGATAGGGCCTTCATAATATCTGTTTGGTACTGATAGAGGTGATCAATTTCTATTGCTTTAAAACTGAAAACTTAAAACAGAAATCTACATTCAGATGACTGAGCTTTTATTGTCCTTCAACCTAATAGACTATTACAAGATGGATATACAGTAGCTTTCCTGTGGCCTTTGTTTTTATTCTATAAGTCTCTGTAGAGGCCTGATACTTGCCTGGATTATTCTACTTCAGGGGTTTGAGATACTCTTCTTCCCCGTCAAACTTTTCTACTCAGGCTGGGTTTTAACCAGCTCTTCCAGTTTCAAACGGCATCTCAGCTAGTATTGGAAGTGAAAGAAAGGCAGTGAAAATATCTACGGTTGCCTGTGTTGATCTGACTATATGTAGGGAGATAGGCAGATACAGTCACTTTAATGCAGCTTTGTTTTAAAAGCAGTTCTACTGTTTCCTGGCTTTAAAGACAGTATCTCTCAGGTCTTCTTTCATTTCTATACCACAAAACCTGAGATGGTATAATAAAGCCACAGTGACAGATTCTAGAATGAAAGCTTCTTGTTTAAAAGCATCTCAGCCTTTTAGACCTATAAAGTATTTAAGTGCCTTTGACCTAGAAAATTGTCTCAATTTTTCTTGTAGGGGTGGGATTAAGCTTTGTGCTGCTGGTTCTAAGTGAACAGGAGAGGGTCAGGAACACCTGCTTAGGTGGACTAGACCCTAATAGGTTAAAATCAGCTCTCTGCCTATGTTTTACGTGTAACTAAAATTTTCACTAAAATAACTAACCAAAGAGCTTATTCTGAACTATTTGGTATTGCTTTTCTACTTGTCTGCAACAGCCTCTGTATTAGAAAACAATTATGGAAGTGTCAAGAATGAGCTGATAACAAATAAACAAAGGGGAATATAATCACTTCTAGTCAAATTTGGTTTATTTTAAGTTTGTACCAAAATATATTCCAGGCAACTCTTCAGATTGATTCAGTCTCATAAGCCGTATGTACTGTTGTCATTCCAAAAGCAGCCAAGACTCTGGAAGTCAAGTGAGTGGTCCAGCCCCTTGGCCCAGGAATACAGTTAGAAGCCACATGATAGGTGAGAAGAGGGCAATATCCATGCACTGCCCTGACCCTTCCTTTTATCCTGGTAGGTAGGGTGTGGTCTTAGGACTGTATACTTTGGTGTTGAATATTAATCAGTGAAAAAGATTAGAGAGTACAAGTTCTGTGTTTTGTTCCTATAGCGCTTTGAAGTTCATTCACCTTACCAGCAGTTGGAAGGCAACCTTCAGTTCTCTACCTGTACTCAACCCCAGGACAGGTGCCATACTAGTCTTGATTTTTCAAGAATTTACTTAAGGGAGAGAACAGAAACCCAGGCCTCAAGTATTTCCCCAATTTCAGATTAGTTAAGGGATTAGAATAAATTAATCAGTGGACAATAGGCAAGAAATTGGGAATGATAGCAGGTATTGGTCAGATCTAGGAGTCAGGACACTCCCTTAACCAGTCTTGCTCAGTTTCCTGATCTAAGCAGAGTCTAAGGGAAAACAGACTTGATTTTTGTCCCCCGTAATAAGTAGTGGTATTTCTCAAGTCATGAAGGTCATGGAAATGTGATTAGTCTCCTAAAATTACTTTCAGTTCTTCCAGGTCCTTCTGGAAAGCTGAATCCTAGGGAGACAAGAGAATAAGACTAGGATTCAAAATCTAAGCCAACATTTCCCAAACCACTGGTACCCAATAAGAAGGGCCCTTTGCTTCCTTTCTGAGCTGTTATCATAGCGCCTACATGCAAAAGTGTAGACTCTTTTCTAGGGAAGTAAGATCTCAAGGGAAGATTTTCTTTTCCTAAAAAGGCCATGTGATGACTCAGTGATGGAACCCAGTGTTAGAAATGCTCTTAAAAACATTACCTCATTAGTGACATCTGGCAGTTCCAAGGCCAGCTTCACCCACTGTCTAGCTTCCGAGTTTCTTCCTAGTTCTCTGTAGCACTGAGAAGAGACAAGAGTGAAAACCTGGGAGAAATACCACCAGGAGACTAGAAAGGGATGCATAGGTACGCTTTCAGGAATTCCCAGAATATCAACATACAGGATTTTCATGTGTTGAAATAGTTAGGTGAGTTTACCTTGGAAATATATACCCTTGCTGCTTTGGAAAATCCTGGCTGTAGTTCTTCAGCCTGGAGAAGGGAGGAAGGCGTTTCAGTGAGGTATTCTCAAAGTCAAGTCAGGCTCTGAAGTATATTAGAGATTTCCAGTCCCCTATCAAGAGACTGATTTAGTGGGTCTGGGAATTTATGTTTTTTAATGAGCTCTCCAGATAGTTCTGATTTTCCCATAGAACAGGCAAACAAAATTGCCCCCTTCAGGAACCCCTCCCAACAATGTCCTTAGGAAAAACAGGTCACCCAGGCAGTTTGGGCTGCTGTCCACCCCTCCCTTCGATACCTTTAGGAAGCTGTGGAGGGCATCCTGCACTGTAGCACTGGGAGGGCTTTCAAACAAGGCTGTAGCGGTTTTTCTTTCTAGCCAGCTCAGGTGAGCAACCTGCCACCAAAAGATAAAAAGTTTTAAGTATTTTTAGGAAAATTGAATATGCTGTACTGAAAACAAACAAGGCTGGGTAACATGACCAGTAACGTGACCATTCAGAGGAAATGGCACTTGAGCCAGGCTGCGGACCCTGTTGCCAAATTTTCACTGCAAGGAGATCAGGACACTTAGAGCCCTTGTGTCAAACCCTGGAATTTAGCTCACCTGGTAGCACCACCTGCCAAGGAGAAAGTGAGCCATGGGGTTTTCTGGCTGAAGAGCAAGGGCTTTGTCCACATGCTCCTGAGGGGAAAAATGTAAACATAAACTAACATGAGACAACAGAGTTGCTAAGGGAAGAGGGGCAAATCATAGAGGCCATAGGAACACCCTTAGCTAGGAGTTAGGATGGAGCAGGGAGTATGGATTAGACCAGCACAAGGGAAGGAAGAGAAGCCTTTCCTCACCTTGAAGCTAAAGCCACTCTGGATGCGCCGCTGGATGCCCTCATGCTCAGCCAGCTGACCACAAAGCACGGCATACCTAAGGGGGAAGCGAAGCAAGCTCAGGGGCAAGGAATGGGCTTCCCACCCAGGGTCTAACTGCACTGCCCGTTACCCCTGCACCCTCAACTAGAGCTGAAAATATAATTTCCATCTATTTATAATTCCTCTTCACAGGTCTGTGTTCCCAGCTCATAGTCTTTAACAAACATAGTGGTAGGCTCTCCAAAATATACATACTAGGCACAAAAAAGCTGGGTCCTCCACAGCAAATCTCTTATACTTAATATTTAGGCAAGGTCTCGGTCCAAATCTCCAACAGATTTCCCCTCATAATGAGTACAGCCATAGGTGTCATAAAAATTTTAAATCTCTAAAATGAGGTCTTCTAATAATCAGCATCGAAGTGTAAGAGACCTGAGTACATTGCTTTTTGTTTCCTGAGGAGACACACTGGTAAACTGTACTGGAAAACTGGACAAATTGGGATGAGATACTGTAGCAATTTCTAATGTTAACTTGAGAACCAATAGTAACAGAGGAAGACAGGCCTCTGATTTCAGCCCTCTCCTTCACATCCTCCCCAAGAAATAAAGCCAGCCAGCTTTCCACCTCCTGTCTTCAAAAACAAAGGTCTCATTACCCATCCCTCCAGCACTGTTTCTAGAAGCACAGTTGACATTAAAGGAGTGTTTAAAGGCCCAGGTTGCCTTTTCATATATTCACTAAATATTTGGGGGTATTTTTATCAGATACTTCCAGAGGCTCATTTTCATGTTTAGTCTAAACAGCTGTCCCCCAAGAATAGCTAAGAAAGTATGAGGCCAGTTTCCATCTTTGGGAGCCCAGGAGCCCCAAGAAAGCCCACAGGGAAGCAGCACCTGTGACACCCAGAAAAGTGACCTGGCCTCTGAGAAGAGCTCTTGCAGAGATAAAGTTTCAGCAACAGATAAATAGCATCTCTCAGCTCACAATCTTAGGACAGAGATACGGAAAGCAAGGTGGGAAAGGAACATTTTCACTAATAACTCTGAGGTGCTAGAACCAGTCCCCAGGATACAAGTTGGCCCTGACCCATGGAAGTTGGCAGAACTTTGCCTCACAGGAGACCACAAACTGGGCTGATGTTTTTGTAGGCTAATAAATCGGCTACTCAACTTCCTGGGGTTGAACTCACTTCCACTTTTCCTCATGCAAGCCATGCAAAGAAGCCCAAGTCCCTGCCAGCCAGAAGTAGCAGCTAGGGGAAAAAGGAGGTTGTGCAGGAGAGGAGAGCTGCCAGTTGTCCCAGTCTCCCTGAGAAGTCAAGAACCCACAAGTTTTGTAGCTCGGGTGACTTTCACAAAGCTGCTCATTTCTCCATGCCCCAACAGAAAAAAGCTTGTGCTCGCCCCTGCCTCACCTCAAGGCACCTGCCAAAGAAAACTTCCCTGGGTCCCCAGCTGGGGATAGGGCGGGGCATATGGGAATACAGGCCAGAGCTCCCTCTCCTGGTTCCTCTGGCAAATGCCTTTGTGGCCAAGGCAAAGAGAAGAAAGTGCCCCCGCCCCCGCCCGCCCCTCCTCCCCCAACCTATGCTGGCTCTTTCCGGGACGCTGCAGGGTGTCATTACCATTGGTGACATTCAGCACTCTCATCCCCCTTCTCCAGGGCCGCCTCTGCTGCTTCCTTTCCTGTAGGACAAAGGTGATCCAGAGTTGACAAGGGCCCCCATGCACATTCCAAAGAAGGGGCTGCGGGAAGGATGACTGCTCCAGCTTTCACCAGTGCCTACCTAACCTGGATTGTTGGAAATAGTTGTGAACTTACACAACTCCTCAGATAGTTTTAGTCTCAAACCTTATGCATTTTTAATGAAAAAGCTGCAAATAGCTTCTCAGGGATGACTTCTGCTTCCCTTCCCATCTCTGTCGTCAGCTGCCTCAGCGACTTGTTTTTATAACACCCACCTGATGTGCTCACAGCACTTCAAATATAAAAGGACCCAACGCCAACCTGAAACTGTCCCCATCAGGCCTTACCCCCATTTTGCTCTGGGTTCTGTGGACAAGCTTCAAGGTGTCCATGAATCCCTCTGAAGTTGTATAAAATTTTAGGTATATATGCATTTTATTAAGGAAAGCGTCCACAGGTTTGATAAAATTCTTAAAAGGATCTATGATCCAAAAACATTAATCACAGCTCTAGGCTGAAACTCCTCACCAGAACCAAATGGACTGAGGTATGACCAGAGATGATTTTTCGCTTAGTCTTAACTAAGTTTTCTAGGCACCAAGACTAACAGAAATCGAGGCCTAAACAAATAAAAGCTCTCAACAAGGGTCCCCCAGAGTGTCAAGGAGCCCAGAGCCCTTCAGGTAAGGACATCATGTTCACAATGGAGAAAAGAGCATCCTGCAAAATGGGACTTCTTTGACTAAAATGGAGAGGGCTTGGCAGGGAACATGGAGAAAATGGAACAAAAGTAATGTGTTGCGGTGGTAGGCTGGCTAATCAGAAATGTTTCCTCATGCTTAAGTGATAGTAATTATGGTATAATGTTGTATGTGCAACAAATACATTTTTAAGACAGCTAATGAGAACCCTGCATCCCCTTTCCAAACAGAAGGATCACATGGCCCCACAGTGAGGGACATTACATTGTCTTATGGGGTTTCTCTCTGCCCTCTTTCAAAGCACTATCTCACTAGGAAAAAAATAGTAAAGAATGTGAACCAGTTCCTACCAAGCTAGACATAGGGGTGAACAGATATTGCCTAGAATACCACAGAATGGCTGCCTCCTGGTGGTGCACCTTCTATAGATAGAACAAAATAAAGAACTTCAGATCCAGCAAGGATGGTCTTAAAAAGCTAGTGTCCCAGAGCAGGGCATTCCAAGATGCTCCATAGTCATCTGACCTCCAGCAGGAAGAGACTTGTCCAGGGTGCTAAGCGTGGGAAGCCAGACCAGACCAGTGTTGGCTGGGCCGCTCCTCCACCTTCAGTGTTCGTGCTGGCTACTAGTACTAATAAAAGATGATCAGTGATCAAAGGGAAAGGAAAGGTTCTGTTACTACCAAAAATCAGCCCAAAAGCAGGCCAGAATCCTCACCTGAAATTTAGAAGGGAAAGCAGAAACTGTTTTAAAAACAAAGCAGGGTGATGATTGGTTAGCTCAGTTGGTTGGAGCGTGGTGCTGATAACACCAACTTTGCCGGTTCAATCCCCACATGGGCCACTGTGAGCTGTGCCCTCCCTAAAAAGAGTCAACTATGCTACTGTAGCATGAAAGCAACGTGTAACCAAGGACGATGGCTATTCCCCAATAAAATTATTAAAAAAAAAAAAAAAGCAAAAAGTAATTAAGTACCTTTTGTTAAAACTTCTAGGGATTTTTGTGAAGACCTGTGTCAATAAACATTTGACTTAATTGGCCTGTTCTTTCTATATCGACTTGCTAATTCTACAATTGTTTAGAATAATGACCTTGAGATACTGTCAGAATCTATATTATCAAAGATTCAATAATGTTTGCAAGGCTGAATTTATAAAAAAAGGGAAAGCAGACGAATCCACTTTAGATAACTGATGGTGCGTAACTCAGGGGGGATGTGACTAGGCAGGACACATCTTCCCCACAAACCAGTCGGTTTTTAAAGTCCCAGGATTCTCAGTGACCTCATGACGGATAAGCCCTGAGCCTGGTGTAAGTCAGATGTACCCTATCCCCCAGGACACAGACTTGGCAACACAGTTGCTAAGTAGATCCCAGGGACTCCTAACCTAGAAGTATTCTCCCAAACTGTTCCTTACAGGTGCTCACCAAACACTCCACTCATAGTCTTAGAACTCCTGCCCCACAGCCTCCATAATTCAAACCAGATTCCTAAACCACAGCAAAAAACCTCTTCAGATTAAGAAAGGTTTTGCGGGCTGGCCGAGTGGCACATTGGTTAAGAACTGGCTTGAGATGCCCGGTTCGGATCCCACATATGAGGGCCAGTGACACTGCCCTCTACAGCTAAGATGGTAAACAACAGCTCGACCTGGAGCTGGGCTGCCGTGAGTTGCCAGCGATGGCGTAGGCTGCAGCCCCTGCTGCAGTGGGTTGCCATGGGCTACCGTGTGTAGCCGGCAGCCGCCATGAGCGGCCATCCAGAAGCAGGCGACTGATCTGTCTCGCCCGGGAAGAGCGCAATGATGGTGCCAACTTGGGCCAGTGAAGCAACGTCCTCCACAACTAGACTGAAGAACAAAAGGACAGCAACTTGTCTGTTCCCCTTCCCCCAATTCCCCAATAAAATCTTTAAAAAAAAAAAAAGGTTTTGCCAACTCTTTCTGTTTGGGGAATAAGAACAAAGGATTATGTTGATATGATACAAGTACTCCTAAAAATGCTCACCTGTGTTCCTCAATCACCACACAGTGCAGAGAAGCAGAGGCCATCTCTGTTTCAATCAAGGAAGCAGGGGTCGATGGGAGCCAGAGTTTATCCCTAGTGAGTAGCTGAGCCACCACTTCCCTGACATTCTGCATCTTGGTGGTTTCCCTGGGCCCCAAGCAAATAGGCTGGCTCTACCCCCACAGTCAAATCAGTCACCTTCCCACCAGGAGCCTGTCAGCACTTACCGTTTAGGGCATATGACTTCTTCTCGCTCACCTCCTCTGTGAGCTCACACATGTCACTGTAGGCCCGGGCCAGGCGCCAGAGAAAGTCCTGCCGACTTCCATACTATAGACCAAACAGAGAGGGGTGAGGCCCCCCTTCCCTCAGCCACAGAGAACTGAGGCTCTGGCCTCCCCTACACCCTTGGTTTGAGTTTCCAAGCTAGTGTGTAAAAAATGCTGACTGATGTCGGGCCAGCCTCATGCACAGCCCTCCACCCTGACACAACCCCCCTCATGCAGTTAGTTAACTAATGACACTCTCTCTTGCCAACAGATCGCACTACCTACAGAGAGGGCATTCTGGCCTCCTAATACTGCAAAGAGGAATCAACTCCAAGATGTAGTGAGGCACAGCAAAAGATAAAATAGGTGAACATGTCCATGAAAAGGGAAAATTCTAATATTGGGGGCAGTTACACCTGGGTGAGCCTGAGGAGAAGAGAACTGCGGGTGAATGACCTACACACTTATCACTGATGTTGGAAACCAAGTGGGGCAGGCAGTTGGGGCTCTGCCTCAAGGGAAATAAAGTAGGAAAAGGACATTTCCAGTTCTTCGCATATTTCCCTCTACTGTGAGAGGTGGAGCCTTCTGCAGCATCTCTACAGGAGGCAGAGGGCTGTCTTCGGGAGGAAGCTCTGAAGGGGGCAGTAAACCGAGGCCTCTAGGGGCAGCGCTTAGTGCCCTTGGAAGAGGATGTGCAACCCTGCGGGGCAGGTGCAGAACCAGCCATCTTGCCCTCATTTCCCTTCCCATGTCACCTTGCAGGGTCAGTAACCACAGTGGCCTTCATTCCCTGGGGGTCAGGAGGGAGGAAGGGCGGTCTGGCGGCTGGAGCCTCACCGCTAACTTGTTGTTGAGCAGCAGCTGGAAGCCCTCCCGCTTGTTCTGCTCACTGCCCTGGTGCAGCTCGTCCGCCTGCTGCAGGAGGGGCAGCACATCCTCCAGGCCAGGGGAACCTTCGGCCTCCAGGGCTCTGGGCACCAGGCCTGAAGCCACCTCTGCCTCCAGGTCCACAGAATCCTTTCTTCCCATCTTCACTGTCTCACAGCTCACTTCATCTTCCCCATCTTCACTCTCCTTGTCAGAGTCCCGCTCATAGTCAGACTCAGCATTGGCTGTTGTATAACTGTGGCAGAGAAATGACAGGGTCAAGAGAGGGGATTATTCAGCCTTCGAGCGCTAGGGTCTGTCCCCCACCCGCAAAGAGGGACTCTGGCATTGCTGTCCAGAGCCCGGAGCCCTCCATATAGGGACCATTCCCCCCACTGAGGGGCAAAAATTAGTTCTCTAGAAAAAGCTCCCTATGGGAACCATGGGCTGGGGAAAATGATCCAGGAGGGGAAGAGTGACCAACTGAGGGCGCTGTGACAGTCAGGAGCTCACATGAGAACCCCTTGCGTAGCTACCACCAAGTCTGCCAGAAAATGGAGAAACAGAAAAAGCCTAGAAAAGTATGTACCAAAATGCTGCCAGTTATTCTCAGGATAGTAGAATTAAAGATAATTATTTTTCTATCTTTTTATATATGATTGTGTTAGTGAGCATATAGTCTTATAAATAAAAAAATGTTTAAGATAAAAATCTAAATGTAGGTGGAGCTCCTGAGCTAAATGGCTCACCAGGCTCAGCTTTGTCAATCATTTTTGCTTTATCAGCCAAAGGCACCTGCCAGAACCAACATGGGTGGGTTCCAGACTCTGAGGCAATGTACAGCCACAAATATCCACATTTTCTTTCTCAGTTCAACATGTACCTCTTTCCAAGTCAGCCACCAAACCTAAGCTACAATAGGAGTAGCCCCTGGGAATTGATGGTGTGGGGAGGCACTTGCAGCTGGAAGCAGGAGATGAGAAAAATGCAAACAGAACCCCCTGAGAAGGTATTTCTGGGGCCATCATAAGCCAGGGGTCTCCTAGGGAGCCCCAACTTTGATACACCCACTGAAGAGGAAGCCGAGTTTCTCTCAGATCTCAGCCTCCACCAGCAGCCAATTGGGAGCTAACTGCCAATCAGACAAAAACGAAACAGGGGAGAAGGTAAGACGTCCAGGGGCCAGACCCAGACACCAGAGAGCCCTCCACACTGCATGCAGGATTAGCAGGTTCGTAAGCCAGAAGGTTCAGAAGCACAGGGAAGATCTTAGGGTCATTTAGGGATAAGCCTTCCTCCATCCTGGAATGAAAGACAGGGGTAGGATCCTATCGCCACCCGCAGTGAGAGCTGGCCAGTCCCGCGAGGCAGGGAGGCTCTAGCAAGGCTGGCACAGTGAGGAGGCCTGTGTTTGCACCTCAGCCCCACTTGAAGGCGCCCTGCCTCACTGATCAGCAGCCCTGCTGCCTGGCGCGCAGTGGGCCAGCAAATGCTTGCTGAGTGAATGCCAAAAGCCCATGGGCTTCCAGGCTTGCGAAGAGATTGACTGTGTGCCAGAGCTACATGGGCTGCTGTGCCTATGTTCACATCATGCTCTCACACTTGGACCACCAACCCAGCCCTTGGAGAAATCCACCAGAGAGAGGGATGGCCCTTTTGCTTAACACACCCTGCAGCTTTTGAGATCAGCAGGGGACTGGCAGGGACCTTTGAAAAGGCCCTTTGGATCTGGTGCACTCAGAGGGAACATGGTGTTCCCAGAGTGGATCATGGACTGGAGGCTCCCTCGGAGCAAGGACAGCAGAACTATCCTACTCTACTTGAGGAGAGGCAACAAGCCAGTGATCAAGGACTCAGTTACACACATCTCCCCTCCTTCTGGCAATTAAGTTTCTTTCTTTGAACTCCTAAGCCCCATTAGAGGGGCTAACCTAAGTATTCCAAGACAACCGAGCATGACCCTGAGAGACTCTGAGTGGTGCGGAAGACCAATCTAAACAAGGTGATAAATGCCCAAGAAGGAGGTGAGGCCACAGGCAATCACTCTTGGCTGGGGTGCCTGGAAGGCTTGCTGGAGGAGGTGGTGTTTTAGGGCAAGTTGGGTTTTGACAGGGAGGGAACTAAATCTTTGGTACAATGCACTGGGGACAAGCTCACACACCCAACACAGTGATTCTGCCTCTACCACATTCAGTCGATCCCCTGGGAGCTCAAAGTTGCTATTTTACTTGGAAGAAAAAGGGAATACAGATTTTAGTGGACTAGAGTAGCCCATCAAATATTCTTATCTTTTTCATTCCTCAAAGAAGCACTCTTTCCCCTGGAGCCCACGTGTTCAAAGTCATTTCAGAGATTGTGGTCTCCTCCAAGAATTCCCCCTTAACCTACATTGCACTGACCATGGCAAAAAATTATTCTCTGTGGCCACTGGCCCAGATGGCAGCCAGCTAAACCAGAGTCTTGCGTCACACACCTCCCTTGCTTCTACATGCCACACAGTCAGTCATGGGGCTGAGCCTCCTGGAGATATAATTAAGAAAGCCACCCTTCCTCTCATCCCATCATAGGTGACTGGAAGGACTGCCCAGCTCGTATGGCCTTGGGAGCCCCAGTGAGCACCCACAAGCTTCCCTGGTTAAGTGCTGGCTCTCACTGCCCACAAAAATTTGTACAACTTCTTAAAATCATCAAGGGCCTTGAGTTCTACATCCTGGTCTTGGGCAGAGCTGTGACCTCTTCTGTTCTACCTTCTTAAAGTTCAAATGTCAATTCCCCACCCAAGTGACCTGTTTCCTTAGGTTGCATAAAGATGTTCCTTAAGTCTCAGGGCCCACTATCAACTACTTTGTCCTCCTTTCTTTTCAATCCAGCTATGTCAAATATTAATTTCATTTTTGCCCCTCCTCTAAAACAGCCCTTTGGAAGCATCTGCTAGCCCAGAGTTATTAGGTAAATTGACTAGAAAAGGGCCACTTCTATTAGCCCTTGAGAATACAAATAATAGAGATCAGACAGCCCAGGCATCAATGGTCATGAATGGAGGACTAAAGCTCTTTACCAAGACTTCACTTGTTTCAAGAGGCACCTGAGCAATAATCAAATCCAGCACAGATGTCCAATGGCAGTGACACGGAAAAAGAGAGTGATACTATTAATTTTCTTAGAAAACCAAATGAGGAGAGGCAGGAGAATATAATGGCACAAACAAGAAAACAAGGCTGAGATCTCTTTGGTAAGATGTGCTGAACACACTACTGCTATGGGCAGTGAGCTGTGGCAGCTCTTAGTCAATGGGAAGAACCCCCAAGGGCTGCATGCCACGTTTCCCCATGAAAGCCCTTCTGTGCCCTGATGACCAAGCCACGCCTCAGATCACAGACCCTCACCCCTGCAGATGAGCCCAGCTAAAGCGTGCACTTGGTAGTGGTACAACACTGGGCAAAGCACCAAATCTCACCAAGCCTCAAGAGAAACAGAGAAAAGGAGCACCTACTCTAGGATCCTTGTGAGGATTAAGTGAGGAAATAGCTCTAAAGTACTTAGCACAGTGTCTGTCAGAGGAAGAATAACCGTAGTTAATATTCTAAGGTGTTTCAGATAAAGAGGGACAATGCTGCGAAGATCGTCCAGAATGCGCATGTGTTTATAGCTAAATCAGCCGTTCTGGCCTGATGGAAGGCTCGGCTGTTCTCTGCGCCAATCTTTCCCTTGAGAAAGGTCAGCAGAGGCCACCAGAGAGGTCAGCCGCTAGATCATACGCAGGCCACCTCTACACTGGAGCTAGCAGCAGACAAGGGCAGATGTGGCCATTGATAGCATCCAACCCGCAACAAAAGATATTCATCCAGACTCCATGCTTGGGACCAAAATTTCAAAATGGCACTAGCGGTTTAAAATCAAAAGCCCTTAGCCTAACCAAGTTTGGTGGCTATCCACAAGACTCCTGCCTGCTGCCCTGTCTCACAGTAAGGCCTATGGTCAGAACTGCTGGGCCACCAATTACTCGTGACAGTCACCTCCCACCTGTAAATTTGGCAAGGGAGCATAAGCAAGCCTGCCCTGTGGGCAGGGGAGGGCTTCCAGGGGGAGGGGAACACACTCAGTGCTTAGAGAGCTCGAACCCAGCTTGGCCACTCAGCGAAGGAAATAAAGTCCCTGTGATATAACACAGGAAAATGCCCATCTAATGTTACAGGAAAAGAGTAAATAAACAAATACAACCATGTAAAAAACAACCCTACTCAGAGGAAAATAAAAGACGTAAGCAATAAGCACTGTTAAATTTCTGTTTGTACAACATAAAGTGGGTGATTTTTCCTATTTCAACTGTTCTGTATTTTATTTATTTATATGCTTACCTCGTTCCAAAAATTGTTTACAGCAGCTTGGTGTGAATTTTCCACTGATAAACATTACTATGACAAAATGTAACCCGGCTGGAGCCACAACTGCCTCCAGGAGAGACAACTCACCCCCCTTCGCTCTCAGCATCTGTGAACGTGGCTCCCGAGGTGGCCGTGAAGTAGACGGAGCTGGAGCCAGTGGAGTCACTCCTCTCCCGGGCAAACGGGAACCTTCGCCGCCGAGCCACTCTCTGGTTCTCTTCCATGTGGGATCTGAAAAGCAGGGTGGCATTAGGCCCCATCTAGCCCGTCGGTCCCCTAGCCATGAGGGAGCCTCTTACTACCACTCCTCATTAAAGGGCCAAGGACCGAGAAAATCCTGGATCTCTATACTCCGGAGAGCAACAAAGCATAGTTTAGGACCCAGCCTGCATGGGCAGAGCAGGCTAGTCAGAACAAAGCATTCAGCTGCTACAACAGACCATGAGGGCCCAAAAGCAGCAAACTTGTGCAAGGTAAGGTACCAAGCGCACGGCTTCCCTGCCAATTAGGTGAGAAGCTATAAAGCTGGCTTCCTCAGAGATAGACAGCAAAGGCCAGAACGCAGATCAGTGGAAAAAGCTGTAGGGGCAGGGAAAAGTTGGGGGCGGGGGACAAGGCAAGAGAGGAGGCTGCATTACTCACCGGACCTCCCCAACAATCTGCCCAGCGAGCCCCTGCAGGCTGCTCCTCAGTTCCTCTACCTCCCGCCGCAGTGCCACCAGACTGGTCAGCACAAAGTCCAGGCGGTCCAGCACCATCTCCTGCCCCTCTCGTGGAAGGCAGGACAGCACTGCAGCATCTCCAGCCTCACCTGGGACTGCCTGTAATGGCCTCGCTGAAGGAAAACAGGGGACAGTGATGCCCATGGAACATAGTGAGGAAAAGATCTTACACCTAGAACATTTACTTCTCACTGGAGTTCCATTTACAAGGACCCTTAAGGCTCAGACAGCATATGTTCACAGCTAAGTCCTGGTAACAAGTCCCAAGTAACTATACAGAAAAAAACATCAAGGTCCCAATCTCTAAACAAGAGCCCTCTGTTCCAAGAACCTCCCACACCAGGACCTTCAGCAGTACTGCACACCACTGTAAATACGGTAATACCTTGGTTTGCGAGCATAATTCGTTCCAGAAACAAACTACTCGTATTGCAAGACATCGCTCGTTTACCATGTTAAAATGTATTAGAAATGTTTGCTCATCTTGCGGAACACTTGCAAACCACATTACTCGCAATTCAAGGTTTTACTGTAATGTAAAATGCTTGCAAGAATGATGTACCTCAAAGGCAGCACAGCTGCTCTACTACAGTAAAAGAAAAACCTTTTGCTGACTACAGGCATACCTCGGACATATTGTGAGCTCAGTTCCAGATCACCACAATAAATACAGTATCCCAAAAAAGTGAGTCAGAATCTTTTGCTGTGAAGGTCTTGCCTTCAATTTACAAAAAACACATCTGTGATGTGCAGTAAAGCAAGATACAAAACGCAATATGCCTATATATAATGCCCCAATACTAGTCAATACCAACCACACAACAAAACTAAAATTAAGCTCACTCAAATTCTGATCTTTCACTTCACAAAGAATAGCAAACTCTGAGCTCCTCTCCAGAACTTTATCTAATATCATCAGAGAGGGGCAAAGAGAAAAGGGGCAGTTACTGACAGAAAAGGTACACTGGAAAAGCCCATCCAAACCCATTGGAAAAATACCATTGCCAAGCCCTGAATTGAGCACTTGGTAAATTCCAACAGTAAATTCTAGTAAACTGATAGCTACCTAAGGAAATTGTACTGGAAAGTGTGAAAACAGGAAAGAAACCAGAGAGATAGGACCCACAGTCCAGCAAGCATACATCTATTAAAGGAAATCTAGTAACAATCTCGGCCAGGTTACAATACAACCCAACAGTGTTCAAGAATGTAGAGCAAGAAAGATCCCTGGAAACATGGCTACTTTCTCCCAATCTCAGCAAAAGAAAGACTACCGCTAAGGAATTACAAACAAAACACAAGGAAAAGGAAGGAAAAACAAGCACACTTGCAACACTAGGTTACCACCAGGTTATAAAACGCTGGCAAACGGTTGCAATCTAAGGTGATAACTCTGAAGACTTTTCTAAAACTAAGTTTTCCAAACCACCTGGCATTTGGTAATCAGAGAAAACACTCGTTCCCAATTAACATGTTCTACAAACGAGGTCTGAACCAGCCCTGGATGCTTTGCTCAAATGAGTTAATTTAACATGAAAGTTCTGCAAAACTGAAAGCACTACCCATTTTAGCTGTGGCTGGCTTCCAGCCATATTCTGCTTCACCTGCAAGTAGGAGCACTCCCAGCCCATGCTGTGGAAAGTCCACAGGACCAACAACCAGGCCCAATCCTGCCACTTACTTGCTCTGTGACAACCTTCGGAAAGTTACACAATTGTTTTTAATCTTGATTTCATCATAAGGAGAATAAAACCACTTGGCCTAATCTCCAAGTTCCCTTCAATTTCCAATATGCAGTTTCATACGTAAGCCCCAGGACTTTTAATTCCTACAAGATTAGTTTTTCCTTTTGCCTACTTTTGGACTCTTCCCCTATTTATTAAACATCTCACCCAACAGTAAGTAAGTAAGTGCCTTTAATACATACATAGCACTACTGTGGCCAGAACTAAAAGTGAAAACTAAAGAACCTCTCCTGGGGTTATAGGAGAAAGAGTACAGAAGAGGGAGACTGCTTTCCTTTTCAATAAGCTTTCCTAAAAGGTGAAACCCCTGTCCACTGTCCTGTCCCACAGGTTCGGCTAAAGGCAGTCTGGACCCCTGGCCCATCCGTCTGCCGTGACTGCGGCCTCAGGGGACCGGCTCCTACCCTGGCGTCCCGGCTCTGAAGTCTGCGTGTAGTCCAGGTTGTTGGGCAGGGGCTGGCTCTGGCCATGGTGCCGGGTCCGTTTCCACCTCTGACTGTAAAGAGCACACAGGAATCCAACGCCCGCGGCGGTGCCCAGCAACAGTCCCAGCCCGGAACGGGCGCTGCCCAAAGCCCCCAGTCTAGACATGATGCACCTGCAGCCCGCGTATGCCACAGGGAGCAGGCGGGTTGGGGAAGAGAGATTCGTGAGCGTGGTCCACCCACCCCCACACCAAACCCCTAGAGATACCTCCTTGCCCCGATTACCCTCATCCCAATCCGGACCCTAAGGTTTCCGCCAGTGCCCAGGGCCTGACTCCCGCGCCTTTCTCCCAGCGTGGACCAGCCTCCCTTCCAACACGCCCCCTAGCCCTGATCCCTGAGTCAGGTTTCTGGGCCTCCACACCCTCCCCCCAGCCTCACGGCCCTGCAGACCACAAACCCGCCGCCTTGGCCGCAAACTCCTGGCCCCCCACGCGCCCTTTGAAAGTGCCGTGGCCTGGCCTGAGATAAACTCAGACTCTCACCGGGCGGGTCACCACCATGGCAGCAGCCGCCGCCGCCGCCGCCGCCCCACGCTGTCAATGACCGTGACGTCATTAAACGACGCCATCCGCCCCGCGCGCTGTTAGAAAGGCGCAGTAAGATGATCACCCCTAGGCTGTGCTTCTGGCTCTGTAATTCCCAGGGGGCGGGGCCACGGGCGCTGCCAGAGGGGTGGAGCCAGCAGAGAGGCGGGAAAGGGGAACAGACGCAGGGAGAGGAAGAAAGCTCGCTGACCTTTGGCCGAATGCTCGAGCTCCTGGAGTATCTTTCTACCTTCGCGCCTGTTGCTTGTGCCTAGATTGACTCATTCTCTACCTGGAAAACGCCACTCCCTCCCCACCTTTCCTTAACAGTCTGTCGTAACTCAGATTTCATTTGATTTCGGCTTAATTTGTTTATGCATTTTTAATCAAACCATTTACTAAACACTAGACAATAGCGTCTTTGGCAGATCAAATTAGAACAGATGAATTGTTGGTTTGCCACAAGAGGTTCATGAGTCCCCAGGGCCAGCTTCCTAAAAACTCTTATATATTTAAAAACGTATCATAGATACACACCCCAGCACTAAAAAATAATCTTAAATCTTACATTGTCATTATTACATTAACCAGGGACAAGGTTATAAACTTTTTCCATTTCCAGAACGTAAATGAAATTCATTTCTCTAATGATAACATTTCTTAACATTTGGATGAGGCTGAAACTTGAGTTGATCTCTGATTGCTTAAATTGGTTCAGATACCATTTCAGGTTTGTTTGCTTGTGTGTTTGTTTGTTTTAAATCTATGTTCATCAGTTTTCTGTGTCCACCATGGCCAATAAATTATTTTATAATTCCATTTTACTTGTGATTTTATGCAACTTCTTGTAATTTTAGAAACTAAAAATACAGGATTTTATCGACTATGATTCCAATTTTATTGTCAGCATTCCTTAAGAGTTAAAATTAAGTTGAGTGACAGCCAAAATATCTAGATCATTCCTCCCCAAATCTTTGAATGGGTATTATATTAACTTACCTCTTAACAGTGAGATATTTTACATATATGAGTACATTTAATGTATGAGTACATTGTAAAGAATAATTTAAAAGCAATGAGGTATCCACCCGACAGCTTAAGAAATAGAATTTCACTAATACTTCCTACTCATTCGTAAGGATTCATTTCAATTAGTACCTCTTGAAATACACTAGGGGATTAATTAAAATAGTCTTGGTGGTGAGCAAAGAGTGGGTTTTTAAATTTTTTATTAAGCTTATTGGAAGGCTGGCTGAGTGGCTCATTTGGTTAACAGCATGAGCACTGAGCAACAGGGTTACTGGTTCAATTACCATATGGGCTAGTGAGCTGGGCCTGAGCTGAGCTGTCACTGAGCTGCCAACCGGTAGCAAGATGGTGAGAGCACATGCTCCTAACAACAAGGTTGCCAGTTCAACTCCCGCATGGGATGGTGGGCTATGCCTACCCACAACTAAGACTGAACATGGCACCTTGAGCTGAGTGGCACAACTGGACTTGGAGCTGAGCTAACTGCACCCTCCACAACTAAGATTGAAGGACAATAACTTGGCTGTTCCGCTTCCCCAATTCCCCAATAAAACCTTTTTAAAAAAACTTATTGGGGTGATATTGGTTAATAATATTTAATTTTCAGGTGTACAAGATTGTAATTCGACATCTGTGTATTCTATTGCGTGCTCCCCACTCGAAGTCTAATTTCCTTCTGTTACCATATATTTGAACCCCTTTATACACTTTGCCCTCCTCCCCACCCTCTTTCCTCTCTGGTAAACACCATTCTGTTGACCGTATCTATGAGTTTGATTTTTTTTGTTTTGTTTTAAGATTTTATTGGGGAATCAGGGAAGGGGTGTTCCCCTTCCCTGACAAGTTGCTGTCGTTTTGTTCTTCAGTCTAGTTGGGGAGGATGTCGTTTCACTGGCCCATGTTGATATTATCATTTCACTCTTTCCGGGTGAGACTGTCGCTTGCTGGCCATTGGATGGCCACTCACAGCAGCTCACGGCCACTCACGCTGGCTGCCGGCCACTCACGGTAGCTCAGGGCAACCCACTGCAGCAGGGGCTGTAGCCTAAGCTGTCGAGGGTGACTCACGGCAGCTCAGCTCCAGGTTGAGCTGTTCACCATCTTAGCTGTAGAGGGCACAGCATCATTGGCCCATGTGGGATCTGAACTGACAGCCCTGATGCTCAGAGCTGGCGTCCCAAGCCAACTCTTAACCAATGCGCCACTCAGCCGGCCCGAGTTTATTTTTTTGTTTGTTTGCTGCTTTTTGTTTTGTATTTCACATATGAGTGAAATCATATAGTTTTTATCTTTTTCTGTGTGACTTATTTCACTTAATACTCTTAAGATCCATCCATGTTGTTACAAATGGCAATAGTTCATCTTTTTTATGACTGAGTAGTATTCCATTGTGTATATGTACCACATCTTCTTTATGCATTCATCTGCCAGTGGACACTTAGGTTGTTTCCATGTGTTGGCTATTGTAAATAATGTGCAATGTGTAAAAATATAGTAATATAAATGGAGCCACTTTAAAATGGAACTGGAACTGCCTTGCATAGCTTATGTCTCAAACCTTTGGAATGTTAAACAGGGCAAATTAATCTTTGGATTGAACCTAAAGCAAGATTGCATTTTGCAAAGATAACAAGAAGAGAGATATTTTGTCTACTGGGCTGATGACTATGGACTGAAAATTAACATTGTTTAGGATTATTGTCACTTATTTCGCTTACCTGCATCAGTAGAAATGCCTTTCTTTATTGATATTATTTTCTTTCCCTTTCTCATAAATACCCCTTGCCTTTGTCTCTTGGCCTTCTACCTGAATCAATGCTTCTCAAATAACTTTTTTTTTTTTTAATCTCAGGTAAATGCTTGTTGCTTCTCGCTTAGCCTTTTATTTTTAGGTCAACAAATGAACATAGGGATATATATATATATATATATATATATATATATATATATATATTTACAAATAAATGTTTTCATATTAAGAGTGTTTTAATGTCCTATTCCCGTATTTTTTCTCATTTTTCTGAAATAAACATGTTTCTTTTGTAATGAGGAAAAATATTAACTTAATTTTGGAGGGAATAAAAATTCATTTCCTCTGGGAAACTTCCCCAGACCACCACCTTGGTGAAATTAATCTTTTTATCTTCCTTTGCTCGTGAGGTGTTGTTACCTCCATTTCACTTGGTTCTGTGATTATTTGCTCTCTAGTCTGTCTACCCTACTGGACTGCTCACTCTTCTAGGGTGGGGTTCGTGCCTGATTCATCTCCATGTCCCCTGTGTCTAGCACAGCTCTAATGCAAAAGCCATCCATAAAAGCTGAACAGAGGAGGAATGTAAAAAGGAATGACCAATATCCAGGCCCTGCCACCTTGACAATGCTTTCATGATGAAAAGCTGAGTTGTGGAAGAACAATTTCTCCTCTATTTGTAGGGGAGGAAGATCTGCCAGATAAACTGACTGTGGTGAGAGGTGAAGCCAGATGGGCAGACCAAGCGAGGGAATTCATTTCCCCCTGGATATTAAAGATGTTATCTGGCGGGTGTGCGGCTGCCAGGGGCAATCAGCAGTGGGGTGGGTTATTCTGGATGAAGCTCTCTATCTTATGCTGCATCTGCAGACCAGTTCAGCAAACGTAATAAAGCCCTGGCAGCCTAAGATATGCACTGACCTTCTATCTCCTTCCCACCCCTCTTCAGCCCAGCCTGAGAGAGGATAGCAGAGCAGACTCCAAACTCCTGTTTTGCTCTCTGCCCAGAACATGACAACCCCATCTACCTGGCTCTTCCAACACAGGAGAAATAGTCAAATGCCTTGGGATGGTGGCCTTACCCCTTGTGTCTAACCTGTAAGGGACTTGACACTTTAAAAAATTGTTCTTTTTTTTTTTCAGTTGTTCCTATAAATTATTTAATAGCTGCAAAATAATATGTATAATACATGTATAAAGACTGAGTACGTTTATAATCCTTTGCTCCAATGTCCTAGTATAAGAAAGAGAACATTGGGCCGGCCGAGTGGTGCATTGGTTGGGAGCTAGCTTGGGATGCCAGAGGGCCCCGGTTCAGAGCCCACATATGAGGGCCAGTGACACTGCCCTCTACAGCTAAAATGCTGAACAACAGCTCAACCTGGAGCTGGGCTGCCATGAATGGCCTGTGACGGCGTAGGCTGCAGCCCCTGCTGCAGTGGGTTGCCATGGGCTACTGTGTGTGGCCAGTAGCCAGCGTGCGTGGCCAGCAGCCACAGTGAGTGGCCGTCCAGAAGCCTGTGACTGATTTGCCTCGCCCGGGAAGAGTGCAATGATGGTGCCAACTTGGGCCCAGTGAAGCGACGTCCTCCACAACTAGACTGAAGAACAAAAGCACAGCAACTTGTCTGTTCCCCTTCCCCCAATTCCCCAATAAAAATCTTTAAAAAAAAAAAAAAAGAGAACATCACTTTTTCCTTTTAAGACGCCTGCATGTCTGTCCCCATCCCATCCCTTTTCCTTCTCTCTGAGATAACTCCTACCCTGAATTTACATTTATCATTCCCTTTTCTTTATAATTTGACCACTTTTTGTTTGTTTGTTTGTTTTTAATGGGGAAGTAGGGGATGGGAACAGCACTGGGGAATTGGGGGAAGGGGAACAGACAAGTTGCTGTGCTTTTGTTCTTCAGTCTAGTTGTGGAGGACGTGGCTTCACTGGCCCAAGTTGGCACCATCATTGCGCTCTTCCCAGGCGAGGCAGATCAGTCGCTGGCTTCTGGACGCTGCTCACTGCGGCTGCTGGTCACTCACGCTGCCTGCTGGCCACACACAGTAGCCTATGGCAACCCACTGCAGCAGGGGCTGCAGCCTACGCCGTCCCAGGCCACTCATGGCAGCCCAGCTCCAGGTTGAGCTGTTGTTCAGCATCTTAGCTGTAGAGGGCAGTGTCACTGGCCCTCATATATGGGATCCGAACCGGGGCCCTCTGGCATCCCAAGCCAGGTCTTAACCAACGTGCCACTCTGCCGGCCCTTGACCACATGCTTTTATCCTCAAACAATATGTTTAGTTTTACAAGTTTGTGAGCTTTATGTAAATAGAATTGTTCTGTATTTTTCCAAGACTTGCTTTTTCACTGAGCATTTTCATTGCTATCCAATTTCCATCGCATGAATTGAGGACTTACAAGAACTTTAATTTCATAACCTATGGCCCAACACTTGGATTTTTGCAGTTTAAACTCTCAGGCTATGTACAGAGACTTGAGGACTTGGAGACTGCTTGCAGAAGAACAGTCTTTCTGTGCTGTTTGATTTCTGTTGATAAGTAATCCAAAAGCTTTTGTTCTACAAGCCTGAACTAGAATTAGGACATTGACCAATGCCTAGTTGATTACTCCTTGTTCTTGTACCACAACCCCACTTGCTGACGACTGAATCAGCCACTGTTGAAAGTCCAGTTGCCGCCACCAATTGGAAAACAAATGATCTAAGTTTATGGTCTTGTTTCCCCAGCAACCCATCTCTTTGATGATCAGCGGCTAGCAACTTACACATTTTTTTTTTAATTTTATTGGGGAACAGCCATGGTCATTGGTTACACATTGCTTTCATGCTACAACGATATAGTTGACTCTTTTTTTAAGGAGGATGCAGTTCACGGCGGCCCATGCAGGGGTTGAACAGGCAACCTTGGTGTTATCAGCACCACGGTCTAGTCAACTGAGCCAATCAGTCACCCCCGACTTACTTGACACCTTTTAAAAACCCTGTTCTCCCCCTCCCACCTCCAAACCGTGTCTTTGGTTCATACCAAGGGCTAAGTTCTCTAATTTGCAAATCATATATGAATAAAACTCTTAATTTTTTTCTGGAACTTTTGTTAACAGAATCAACCAAAAACTTACTCCACTTTTGTTTGTTTTTTTTTTTTAGCTGAGCCATCCAGCTACCTGTTCGCAGCTCAGCAGCTGCTCAGCACTCGAACCGCTATTGCTCAGAGCTCAAACTCTTGAGTGAGCTCTTAACCAACTGAGCCACTTGGCAGACCCTTACAACTTACTCCACTTTTGATGGACATAAAGACTGTTTCCAGTTTTTTGCTAATTATGGACAGTGCTGTGATGAATATTCTTGTACATGTATCCTGATGCATGTTTTCCTGAGGTTTATGTAGGGAAGGTTTGGCTGGGCCACACCTCTTCACATCTTCAGCATTAACAGATGATGCCAAATTGTTTTCCATGGTGCAAGGTGGTTGCATCAACCATAACAATTTACAATCCCAACAGTAGTGTTTCAGTTGTTAGACATCTTCACCAGTACTTGATGATTACATTTTTTTCAAATCATTAAAACAGTATCTCATTGTAGTTTGAAATGTAGTTTAATGTGCATTTCTAGGATTTCTAATGATATTGAACATCATGTTCTATGTTTATTGGCCATTTCCTTTCTCTCGTTTGAAAAGTGTCTGTCTATTCGAGTCATTTGCCCATGTTTCTTCTATTGATTTATCTGTTTCTCGTTGATTTGTAGCTCTTCATATGTCCTGGGCACTAAACCTTAGTCACTTTAACAAGTATTTTGTTAAGCAGGAGTATGTTTTATTTATCTGGCTATTTATCTGTTGATCCTGGAGGTAGAGAGTACAAAATTCTAAATTAGACCAATAAGGATCCTTTAGGATTACAACTTCGATTTCCCTCCACATCTGTCCCACATCTCTCTCCACATCTGTCAAAGTGCTGGAGGCACTTCAGTGAAATTAAGATTTTTCAATGGCTGAGCGGGAAGGTTATAGGCTATTTTTGTTTTGCTTTGTTTCATAAAGAACCAATCACAAGACAGAATGTCGAGTTGTCAGATTTTGATACCTCCAGAGGAGGGCGGGGACGCTTTGAGGTGAACTCGCGGCCCTCTTGTTGGTGACTGGCGCGGGAGAACCTGTTTCTTTTGCCCCAGGTGCTGCCTTGTGATCTGCGCAGATGCTGTGTCTCTCCAGGTTCACGGGAAGTTCTCCGAACTGAGGGCCAAGTTCCGTTGGTTTAAGTCCCTCCAGGCCTGGTACCCAGCCAAGCGCTCGGTTTCTTTACAGCTTTACCTATAGCGCCCCAGAAATGCAAGGTCCCGCCGCTGTGCTAGGAATTACAGTCGGGTAGGCTGGAATGCGCAGCACACCCGAGGTGGTATTTTAGCTGTAGCCACAAGCCTCCTATCCCCCTGTCTTCCCTGCTGAAGGAGTCTCTGGAGAACGTGTCCTGAGGGTGGGAAGTGGGGAGCCACTAAAAGCTTTAGAGATGTCCCCAGATGCGGTGGGCTGGACTTGGGGGCTTCAGCCGGGTCGCCGTTTGCTCCCTGCTCTGTTTCACTGGGACGCGAGCGGGCACAAGCAGGACTTTGGAAACTGTTACTGGAGGTGTTGCAATAGGGGCGCAAGGTCAACACACGCGCTTGGCGCCGCGGCCTGTGGTAGCCCTCCGAGGCTGGTGGGCCACCCCCGCTTCCAGGCCTCGGGCGTCCGAGCGGCCCCCCACAACACGCATTCTCTTCGCGGCTGGACCCGGGCAGAAGCCGCAGGTCACCCGGAGTCCTAGTGCGCTGCCCCGGGTTAGGGGCGGGTCCCGAATAGCTGGGTGCAGGGGCGCGTCACGGGCACCAGTTCCTGATTGGCCGCCGTTGCGGTCACCGGCCGGGCGCACTGGGATTGGCACAGCCCGAGGCCAGAGCCGGAGTAACGGTACTCCGGACGCCGGGTTGCAGTTTGGGAGGCCGAGGGGGTGGCGTCGCCGTCGAGCCCAAAGCCCAAGGTGGGAGCCTGGCCGGGACCCGCGCACCATGCCCTACCTGCTCATCAGCACTCAAATCCGCATAGTGAGTACCACCGCCGACCATTGGGAGTTAGGGCCCGGCCCGGGGCGCGGGGGCTGCGGCTGCACCTTGGTGCCTTCCTCCTAGGCAGCTCCCGCTAGTGTTGGGCCCGGAAACTGCTGGGACACGCCCCCTCGGGCCACGGGGGAGGGAGGCTGGGGATCCGACTTTGCCCGGATCCCTGAACTCGGAGCTCCGGTAGACCCCGCTCCTCCAGCACCGCGAGGGCCAGGTGCGTGCGCCCCGGCGACCCAACGAGTTCCGCGCGCTGGCGGCTCCTGTCCTGCCTGTCCGCGGGAGGACTGAGCCTGCGACAGAGACCCAGGAAGCCCTGGCCTCGCACGTGGATCACTCACTGCTCTAGCAGAGCCGCTCTGCGGGGAGGGGAGGGGGGAGTGGAATAACTTGAGTGAGAGGTTTGGAAAAGAAAAGGACGTACTAAGCTGAAACATCCATGTGCCTGCCCCACCCACAGCCACTAGCTGCACCCTTAGGTACTTCCAGGAAGTGTCTGAGGCCTTAGGAAAGGAAGAGAAGAAAGACCTTCTAGCTCCTGAAGAAAGGGGAGACCGCCGCCGTTGAGGTTAGAGGTGGGGAAAACACCATTCAGGAGTCTGAAGTCACCCTCTTTCTCTGGGCGCAATTTCTTCGTCTAAGGTGCTGGTCGCCCCTGGAGTCCCGTTTTGGCTTCAGAATTATATGACTGGGTCCCCCAGTTGGGCAGCAGGATGCTCCTCTGCCCCTTCCGACTCCCCACTGCGTTGTGATCCATCAGAAAAGACGCAGCTCCCTGGGGGTGAGGGCATCAGGTGGGCTCACCACACCATGGGTCTTGGCAGTACCCTAGGGGAGTGGTTTGAGAACCCATCATTTGTGCAATTGTTAAAATGTGGACTCCTGGGCCTCTTTCCAGACCTCCCAAAACACTCTAAGCCTGGGGCATGGGAATTTAGGAGATTTTTTTTTAATATAGCAGCTTTATCGCTATATAATACACATACCACAGAATTCACCACTTTAAAGTATACAGTTCAATGGGGTTTTCTTTATACATATTCAGAGTCAGTTATCACCATCACATTAATCAATTTTAGAACATTTCCATCACCTTAGCAGTCACTTCTCATTCCCCACCCCCCACCTCCAGCCCTCCAGCCCCAGGTAACCACTTTCTGTAGTCATATGTGGTCTTTCATATATGGCGCCTTTCACTTCAAGTTTTCAAGGTTTATCTGAATTGGAATATGTATCAGTACTCATTCCTTTTTATTGCAAATAAGATTCCATCATATGGCTACACTGCATTTTATTTATCCATCCATCAGATGAAAAATATTTAGGTTGTTTCCACTTTTTGGTTATTAGGAATAATGCTATGAACATTCATGTACAAGTTTTTGTGGGACATTATGTTTTCATTTCTGTTCTCCAGGGGATTCTGATACACACACACACACACACACACACACACACACACACACACACACAGGTGATGGTGCCTGGCATGAGGGTGCCAGTAAAAGAGCTCTGCCCAGATCAGCTTGGATGGGCTCAGGAAGCCTCACACTGCTCAGCTGGCTCATTGACCGGCCCCACCCTTTCCTAGCGTGTGGTCTGCCCTCAGTGTCCCTCACCACCCCATCCAGCCTTTACCTGAAGCTGGCTCAGGGCCAGCTGGCAAGGGAGGAAGGAGAGGCGAGACCTTCCACCTCTACCTGGCAGCCAGTCGAGCAGCTGCTGTGGCTTACCTTGCAGGAGGCGGGCCCCACCATGGTGGGCGATGAGTACTCCGATCCAGAGCTGATGCGGCATCTGGGGGCTTCAAAGAGAAGCGTCCTGGGAAACAACTTGTGAGTAGTGGCATTCCTAAGTATCTTCTCCTCACTGGGCCCTAGACCTGTCCCTGTTCCCTTTACATACCACCACGCCCAAGGACAATGCCACTGCCCAGCCTCAGAGCCCCGCTGCCTGCTTCCTGGGGTCCTGTCCTCTTGTAGGGTCAGTCCCCGTCTGCAGCCTTTCAGCCCCCCCAGGCTTGCTCTGAAAGCTTTCCCATTGGCCCTCTCTTCACAAGAGGCCTCAAGGACAAAGTCAAGTCCCAGGACAAAGTCCCAGGACAGAGTCCAGATTCCTGGAGATAGGACTATGTAAGTGGACTGTTCCTTGCCCTGCCCTCTTATCTCCAAGCTGGACTCTATCAAGGCAAAGATAGGCATAGAGGAAAAGGTTTTTGTCTTGAAGAACTGGCTGAGTAACAAAGGTAAGCCCTAGAAACCAGAAGCAGGCAGCCTGGGTCCTACTTCCAGCTCGGCCAGCTGCCTGGGGGCTTGGCCACTTCCCTTGGCATCCTTTACACCAGCTCCAAGTCTAAAGGGTGAGCATTGCTTTCTTTTCTGGCCCTCTCCCTTCCTATCCCGTAGGCAGGGAGAACCCTGGCTCCAAAGGCTGCAACTCCTGAGAAGGGTCCCCAGAGTGAGCCCCAGTTCAAAGGGGGCAAAGTGGAGACGAGCTGGTGCCAGCACCTTGGGTCAGGGTTGGAGGGTGAAGCCAACCCTCTCCCTTTACCATGAGGCATTTGTCTTGAGATGCCCAGCTTGGGGCTTGAGCCCTTTATCTACTTGATGGCCCTTTATTTTTTTTATTTAAAGATTTTATTGGGGAATTGGGGGAGGAGAACAGCATTGAGGAATCAGGGAGGGGAACAGACAAGTTGCTGTCCTTTTGTTCTTCAGTCTAGTTGTGGAAGACGTCGTTTCACTGGTCCATGTTGATATTATCATTGCGCTTTTCCCGGGTGAGGCAGTCGCTCACCGGCCATTGGACGGTCGCTCACAGCAGCTCATGGCAGCTCATGCCGGCTGGCAACCACTCATGCTGGCTGCCAGCCAACTCACAGTAGCTTATGTCAGCCCACTGCAGCAGGGGCTGCAACCTACCCCATCACCGGTGACTCACAGCAGCCCAGCTCCAGGTTGAGCTGTTGTTCACCATCTTAGCTGTAAAGGGCACAGCATCACTGGCCCTCACGTGGGATCTGAACCGGAGCCCTGCTGCTCAGAGTTGGCATCCCAAGCCAACTCTTAACCAACGTGCCACTCGGCCGGCCCTTGATGACCCTTTAGAATTAATTCACCCCGAAAAAAAAGAAACCAAGCATTCTCTGTGCTAGGGATCGGCTCCCAGAGTCAGGAACTATTGGGTTGTCAGAAAAGTCATGACATTTTGCAACGAAAAACAGAAAAACTACATCATGACTTTTCTGACAACCCAATATTAGGTGCCAACCTGTTACTCCAGGACTGTAGGACAGCCAGGGCAGTAGGAGGGGGCAGAGGCCTAGGGGGCCCTGGTGCGAGCAGGCCATTCTTCCTGCACAGTGCAGCAGCTCAGGGCACGTGGGGCTGTCACCAGACAAACATGAGTTCTACTGTCTTATACCACTGGAAAAGCTACTTAAGCCCTCTAAGTTTTCTCATTTATAAAATGGGAACAATAATGGTGCCTTCCTTGGGTTGTTGAGAAGAATAAATGAGATAATGCATGCAAAGTGCCTAGCAGGGGTTGGGGGGAAGGGAACATACATTTAGCCTGGCATTTGAAGACCCCAGCAAATGCTGGTCATCAAGAGCATTCCTGACCAGGCCTGGTGTTCAGCAGAGACTAGCTTGTATGGGAAGCTTGCACCGTGTATCCCCTCACGCTGCCCCTTCTTCTGTTCACAGCTCTGAATACTTCGTCAATGACCCCCCTCGCATAGTCCTGGACAAGCTGGAACGCAGGGGCTTCCGGGTGCTGAGCATGACAGGGGTGGGCCAGACACTGGTGTGGTGCCTGCACAAGGAGTGACGCTCACACTGAGGAGCAGACAGGGCACCCCTTCTTTGAGTGGTTGCCATGGGCCCCGATCCCAAGCCCCTGTCTCACTCCCTGCCCTGTCCCTCTCTTCCTAAATCATTTTTCCTTGGCCCAGCACCACTGGGCAGTGAAGCCTGCCTCAGCAGGGGGTGGGAAGGGCCGGACCCCTTGTCCTGGTGCTCCCAAGTGCCCCTCCACCTTCTGGCCTGGCTGAGGGCGTTGGAGGAGGCCATGTTCATGGGTAGGCTGAGGGGTTGGCAAGAGCCAGGAGCATGGCCCCTGGACTGGGCGGGTGGGTCTTGTGTAGCTGGTCCAAGCCAATAAAGGGCTGCGATGAGTGGTTGCTCCTCTGCACTGCAGGCTCAGGGACGCTCACTGAGTGGAGCGCCTCTGTGGGTATGTCTACTGCTGGGGAGGGAGAACCCGGCCTGGGCAAAGCCTGGGAACCAGGGCTACACTTGGGCAGGCCAGCACCTTCTACCTATGTATGCAATAGAGGTAGACTCTTAAAAAAAAACTTTATTGGTGATGTTTAGGAAACAGGCTGTGGGTGGATGGGCTGCAGGCTACGTGGGCTGCCCCACCTTGTCTTCCTGTTGCATCTGGGCGATCAGCTGCTGCCTCTCCGAAGCTTGGCGCATGCGCATCATGACCAGGCTTTCATAGTCCCTCTCTGACAGCACTGAGTCCTGGGGGACAGAGGTGGGGAAAGGGGGGGTCAGGGAAGCAGGGCACAGCCCCATAGACTCCAGACTGGAGGACAGGGCCTAGGTGGAGCTACAGTCCAGAGTCAAGGACCCTGGAACTGCCTGTAATCCCAACTCATCCATGTTTCTTTAGAGCAAATGAGTCCCCAAGCCAGCTTCTCAACCCACCTCAACCAGTAATCACCCCCACCCCCCCTTTCTCAGGCCCTTAACTTTTAGTCAGCTCTGTTCATCTTTCCCAGGTGAATCACTTCCTCATGCTCTAGCCAGGCCCTCATCTCCCTTCATTTCCTCTCAGCCCTTTATTTGACACTCCTTTCCTCTACCCCACAGCTTCTGTTTTTCACAAGTTTCCAGTGAAGGGAGGTCATCAGGTGTAGAAATCCACTCAGCTCTGCCAGGCGGAGGCGAGAGCATTTGCCCCCTCCCAGCTGTCCATCTTCCCTGTGGTCTGGCTCCTGCCCAGGACACAGGAGAAGGAAGCCCTGCCCTAGACACAACCCCAATCAGCCCCACCCTAGGAGACAGAAACAAGCATGAGGCCCACTTCCCTCCTAAAAATACACACCAGCGCTCCTGGAAGGCAGGGCCTGGATTTTTCTTTTATGATCTTGCCAGCACAATGCGTAAGATTAAAGAGGACTATATTTTAACAATCAAAAGAATAATAAACAACCACCTCAATGGGCCAAGGCTGTGGGGTGAAGAGGCAGCTTTACAGTGCCACGAGACCTGGGCTGCCAACCCCATGCCCTGATAAGGTCTGCAGTGGGAATTAAATCACTTCCTCCCTCGGCGCAGCTGAAGCTGTGTGAAGTGTGACGCCCACTTGGGTTGGCACAGAAGCAAGCCAGGCCAGGGGGCTACACAGAGACAAAGCTGCGGAGCCCTGTTCTGCAGTACACCGAGCTGGTGCATTCTCACGAAATAAACAGGAGGCAAGTTTGGTGGTCAGTGACCTGGGTGAATAAGAAGGGAGTGGCTGGGGTTAAGAGGCCAGGCCCTGGCCAGCTGGTTTGGAGTAAGGGGTGTACAGAAGCAGGAAATGTTATTCAACCTGGATCCCCTTGCTCCTCCCGACAGCCCCACCCCTCCTCCTCTCTCCTGGGTGTCCGAGGATCGTTGCCCTCCCGGCCAGGCTCACCTACCTAGGCTTGGCCCAGTGCACCGCCAAAATTTCAGGGCAGCCCCATGTGGCCTGAGAAGGGACCTCAAATGAGGCCCAGGCAGCCCATGGGGAAAAACTGGAGCAGAGGGTTGGAGGCAGCAGGACCCAGGCCCTCAGCTGCTCTCTCCTGTCCTGAGGCCATCTGATAAGTCAAGGAAGGATGAGGAAATAAAGCAGCCAGACTGGGTGTCAGGCCAAGGGGAGGGCAATTCTCCCCTCCCCAAGGTAATACTGCTCTGCTGTGAAAACTCAGAGTCACCGTGGCATGCCCCAAGCCCAGCCCTGGGAGGAGCCAGCCCTTTATAGGCATGGGGCTGCTCCCTGTTAACACACCCTCTGCCTCCTTCCCCTCATACCTGTGGGCTCTGCTAATGAGGGTCTGTCACCAGGTCCCAGGACTGAGTCACCCACCCAGCAACAGGTCTCTTCCTTTCCCAACAATTGTTTCAATAACTGCCACCTTCGCTGCGCCCCTCCTTCCCAGACACACTGGGGGCCGGGGAGCCAGGCCTATCTGCTAGGGCCCAGGGCGGTGGGGAAAAAGGAGGCAGCCTGGTGACACACACAGCAGGGCTGTCCCCAGACGAGTCCCCAGAGGAATTTCAGCTCCCCAGCGCCCTGGGGTGTTGGCCACAGCGGCCCCAATCCTTGCATGCGGATGCTGCAATTACCTCAGAGCATGAAACCTGGCTCCCCACCTGACTGAGTCAGCTGAGAACAACAACACACCTCCACGGCACACACCAGCACAACCAGCTGGGCACTAATCAGAGTCGGAGAGCCTTGGCAGAGAGGCACAGAGGCCAGCCAGGGAGAGCGGAAGAGCCGTGGGCCGCGAGGCGCAGGGGCTGGGGAAGGACGGCTGCTCCTGCCAGCCCTCCCCGCCAGCCTGAGAAGATCCATCTCTGACCTCCCCAGAGCCGCCCTCACTCCAGTTCCAGTAAGTGCTGCTTCTTCCTCTTGGGGTTTTTCCACTGACCTATCAAGTAACCAGGCCACTCCTGTCCCTCTGGGAAACTCCTGTTGCCAGCAACTAGCAGTGCTCTGCTCTCCCCTTCCCAGGACCTCGTATCACCGTCAAAGATGCTGGCCCAAGCTCTGTGCTGAGCAGAAAACTGGAGGCCTCTGCTGGAAGCCCACGTGGGCTGTCTCCCTGATGCTCATCATTCACGGCTCCAGTAGGGTCCAGATGGTCCCTTAGCCACTCCTGAACTGGGCTTCTAAGGTGCCAGGCTGGTCTGCTGGCTCCCTGGGTCCCATGGAGACCTGGCGGAAAGGCTCCTTCCGCAATGCCTCCTTCTTCAAGCGGCTGAGCCTAGGGCGGCCGAGGCGACTCCGACGACAGGGCAGCGTGTTGAGCCAGGCCAGCATGGCTGGCGGGGACCATGAGGAGTACAGCAACCGAGAGGTCGTCCGGGAGCTTCAAGGGAGGCCGGATGGCCGGCGCCTACCACTGTGGGGGGACGAGCAGCCCCGAGCCACGCTGCTGGCCCCACCCAAGCCCCCACGCCTCTACCGCCTCTACGGAGAGAGCTCCAGCTGCCCCAACATCCTGGAGCCCCCCCCTGCCTACACCACTGCCTACTCGACTACCCTGCCCTCAGCACTCTCCCTGGGAGGCGCCCTCCATGAATACTCTGAGGAGGAACTTTTGGACACCCCCACCTTCCAGAGGACACCTGCTCCGGACCTCAATGACCCCTTCTTCTCCTTCAAAGTGGACCTGGGGATTTCACTTCTTGAGGAAGTTCTACAGATGCTGAGGGAGCAATTTCCCAGTGAGCCCAGCTTCTGAATGGGGTGAGGGGTGGGCAGAGGTGGGGTGACTGGAAGAGCTGGAAGCCTGGGGACCGCAGGGAAGGAGGGCATAGTTGTGGATTAAGAAAAAGGTGGAGATAGGAATCCAGGGCCCTGCCTGCCCTCTGGGTCCTCAATAGTCCTCCAGGTCACCCCAGAGTGGATGGACAGGAGCAGAGGCAAGCTGGAAATGTTGCTGACAAGAGCTCTGAAGGCAGCTGGCTAGGCTGGGACCAGGCAGAGGCCAGCAGAGGGGGAGGGCAGCACAAGGTGTGAGTCAGGCAGTGGAGGACACACAGACTAGACAGATCAGATGGGTGCCCCCCACCCCCACCCCCCAGTCCTCTCTGTAGCCACTACCAACAGAGAGAGGTTACAGGACAGGTCTAGGCAAAAGCAGTCCAACTCAGGCAGAAGAGGAAGGTGGGGAAACCTGAGGGGAGAGGGGACAGACAGGCTTGACCTCGTCCAATATGGCAGCCACTAGCTACACGTGGCTGTTTACATTTAAATAACTGAAACTAAGTAAAATTAAAAAATTTAGCTCCTCAGCTGCACTAGCTGCATATCAAATGCTCAGCAGCCATACCTGACAAACAGCTACCACAGAGGACAGGTCAGGGCGGACATTAACATCATGAGAAAGCTCTGTTGGAGAGCGCTGGCCTAGACCATGGCTGGAACCAGCAGTGACATGATGGGGAAAGGGAGGCATAGGAGCCTGCAGCAGCAGGGAGGGGCTGGCAGAGTAGGGAGAGCGAGGCATGCAGAGATACGAAGTATAGGAGTATAACTCGGGAAGAAGGCCACACAAATCATTAGCAGGAAAGGGGGCATGAGAGACTCATGCTGCCAACACAGCTGCCTGGAGCGCTGCCTGAGGAAGGTGGCTCCAGGGAATGCCAACTGAAGGCACAGGCACAGCTTGCAAAGGGCCACTATGGGGAGTCCCCAGCATTACTAACGATGGAAGCCCTTGGGAAATGCAGCAAAAACAGCGGCAGATTTCTCTCCTTCCAGCCACCATGAGAACATAGGAGGACTGACCAGGGGATGGACAAGAAATTCGTGGCTGTTACTGTGACGTGATCTCTAGAACCCTCCACAGCGACTGGGGAGCGCTGCTTTGCCTGAACCCTCTGCCGATGTGGGCCTACCACCCAGGGCTGAGCTCACTGGGTTGAGGCCACGCACTGTGCTGCTGCCCCACGCTGTGGCCTGGCCAGAAGACCTGAAACCGTAGCCCAGGTCAGCTGGGCCCTGTGGTTCTGCACGCCAGGCCTTTCCAAGCGTGGAGAGGGGCAGAGGGATGCTTCGATGCACACTGCTTCCACAACTCAAATCTGTGCCTCCGTCTTCTCTCCTCCTGTGAGGATGTGCCCAGAGGAAAGGCTCCCCTCTGGATGCAGGAGATAATGAATAAAGTTCCGTGTAACAGCCTTTGGAGTGTCACCTGGGCTGTAAAATACTGGGACTTAACGGTGGGAGAATGAGCTCTCTAAAGAAAGATCTCAAGTTGGGCTCAGACCAGTTCCTTTTCCTCCTCTGTCGAGGGTCTGGGATACACTCCCGGAGAGCTTCCAGTTCTCATTTCTCATGGCCAGGTGAGGGGCATGTAGGGGGGCAGGGGTGGCATGACAGGCAATGAGAGCACAGGCCTTGCTGACTCACCGGGCATTCTGCTCACAGAGGGGGCTGTGAACACATTAGCCTGAGGCTGCCACGCAGACCCCCAGGCCATTTCGGAGAAGGGACAGCTCTTGGACCCAAAGTTCTCTGTCCACCAAAGTGGGGCAGGTGTGACCAGGGCTGCTGTGTGTGTGTGTGTGTGTGTGTGTGTGTGTGTGTGTGTGTGTGTTGCTAAACAAGTCTTCATGGAGCTATGAGGATGAAGAGCTAGCACTGGGGGCATGTATCTGCTGAAGTCTGTGCTTCACCATGAGTCAGGCACCCAGGCAGCGAGTGCCCCAATGTCAGCAGGGTACCCAGTGTTATTTCTAGGGACGAGGTATTGCCTCTTGACAGTAGGTCCTGTCTGGGGCAGCCACAGACACACCTGGAAAGTGAGTGGAGGAAGGGAGCAGCTGCCTGCCTCCTCTGCCCCTTCCTCACAGCACCGCACCAGGCTGTCTAAGTGCCAAATGCTTCATATCACACGAAGCAGCCTGCAGGCCAGAAAAACCCCTTTGGGTGATGAATGTCTCCAACAGGAGACCAGGACGTGGAATAGAGGTAAGGTCTAAGCATTCTGTGTGGGGCAGGGCCTGCTGGCACTCAGAGGGAAACGGGTCAGCATGGAATCCTAGTCCTCCCACTCTGGCTGGCAGACCTGACAATCTCTCCCCACTCCTGATGACCTGGATTTGCGAGGACAGGGCCCTGAGAAGAGCCCAGATGGGAAAAGGTCCCCCAAACCCTGAATAGATCCAGCTGAGTAAGGCTTGGCTCTTTACCTGTGACAGTTCTGGGTGGCGGGGGTCCTTCATGCCCTGGGGCCGTCCCTCCAACCAGGAAATCTTCAGAGGGTTATCGACCAGGCCCACTTCATTCTGGACAGCCAGCTCCTGCCAAACACAGCATCTAGTTAGTCACATCATTCTCGTCAGCTATAAAGTGGCTTTCTATACCCCCACAGAAAGTACCAGAACCAGCACTCTCGTCCTCTAAGCAAAGCACAGTAGTGTGCTGAAGCTTTGACCCTCCTCATGGGGCAGTGGGAGAAGGGGGAAGGGCAGTGTGGGGCCTCAACCTGGAGGCGTGCCAGCTCCCACTGGAGGGTGGAGGACGTGGAGCCAGGCAGCAGGAAACCAAGTTGGTCTGTGCGCTCCTTCATCCCAGAACATTCTCCCACCCATCCTTTCATTCACTGTGCCTGTGCTCCCAGGAGTCAGGGGACCTTGGCTCTGAGCTGGCCCAGAGATCCCCTGGGGAGTGTGGATACCTAAGCTCAAGGTCCCTGCAGAATTGGGTCCCTACCCTGGAACAGCAGGGCTGGCAGTGGCTCCCAAAGCCTCATGCAGCACTCACCGCAGCCTTGACAGTGGCAAACTCCACCACGGCAGTGCCTGCCTTCTTCCTGGAAAGCACCAGGTTGAGCACCTCTCCATACTGTGGGGACAAGAAAGGCCCAGCTCATGCCAGAGACAAGCCTGAGGCGCATCGGGGTATGTCCAGCTGGGGGACAACTTCTTGTTGCTAAGTTCCCAGAGAGAGGAGATCAGAGATGGGAAGGAAAGAATTTTTTTTCCATGAATGCAGAACAGTAAAGGAAGTTGGGCAAAGGACTGGGGACTTAGACTGGCAAGCACACAGCAGCCTCGATGACTGAAGGTGGTGACGAGGATGGGGTTTTTATGCCAGATGCCCACTTCCTCTCTCCCATACGCTCAGCTAAGCCCTCTGCTTCTAAGGGCAACCTGGGCAGTGAAAGGCAAGACATGGCTACACGAGTAAGAGGAAGCCTGGGGGGAAGCCAGGCTGTCCTGTGGTCTATGAGATAGGAAAACAAGGCAGCGGGAGGAGTTAAGGGAAGTTTAGGCACGGAGAGCCTGGGGTCTGGACCGAGGTGATGGGAAAGAGGGAAGCCAGCAGGGCAGACCTTCTGAAGAAGCTGCAGGAGGACATCTCTGGAGTAGCCACCTTGTGACTCATCCTCCTTCTTGCACTTCCACTTCAGCTGAAAAGACAACGGTGGGCATCACCACTGAACACTGACCTTCGCCTGAACAGCACCAGACCCCACACCTCAGCTTTACAGTCTGAGCAGACACCCTCCTGGTCTTCAAGTCACTAGTAATCTAGGGAGCGTCCCCCAAAATGTTCCACTTGAAAATGGACAAGCAGGGCAGCCACGTTTCTTGGCCTACAAGATGCTCTCTTGGAGGGCTTCTGGGGGTGCTGCCTGCAGCCGACAGGGCTGAGAGGAGCCTTCCATGGCAAGTAAGAGGCCATCCTGATCCGCAGGCAGCAGGAGGATGGAAGGATGTGGGCAATGGCACAGCTCCCGGGGACCCACTGTCACCACCAGAACTCCTTGAGCCACTGAATACATCTGCTCTTGCTGAGAGGAGGTGGTGTGGGGTGACCCATGGATCCTGCAGGACTCACCTTTAGCTTGGGGGTTCCTTCAGGATTTTCTGCCTTTCCTAGAAAATTTGGGGAAATTCGCAAGGTAGAATATGAGGGGGCCAGAAAGTCTCCCAAAGGAGACATAGCCCAAGGCCTGAAGGACCTAGAAAAGGTCACTCCTGACCAAGGGCAGCATCGGCCCCCTGCTGAGGACAGAGGCAATCCCACCCCCATCGCCAGGAACTGCCACCCCAGGGATGATCGGCCCAGCTGCCTGAAGGCCACAGTTAGCATTAGCACTCTGCCAATGAAGGGCTGTGAACACCTTCTGAGGACAGGAGGTAGAGGGACAGACCACACAGTTCTACTAAAGTATCTACTAAAGTAAAGTAAAGATACTTTAGTAGAACTGTGTGGTCTGTCCCTCTACCTCCTTTCCCCTGGTGACCTGCTCCAATATAGAGCCTTTCCCCTGGTGACCTGCTCCAATATAGAGACAGCTCTGCTTGGCACTAAGAGATACCAGGCCAGGAGATCTCAGACAGGGTAAAAAGCAAACAGGCCCCAGAAAACTGGTAGGAAGAAGGGACAGGTGGCATATGTCCGAGTGGCATGTCCTGGGGTTCCAGCAGGTGGAAGCCTCCACAGAGACTCCACTGAGCAGCCAGTGTGGCCTCTCTGGGCATCTGGAGCCGCCTCAGAGCAGGAAGCAGGTGGGGGTGATGAACCCTCACCTCTCAACCTCTGCTCCCGTTCCTTGCGTATCTGCTCCTGGATCAGCCTCTGCTCTTTCTCCAGCTGCCGGGAACCCTCTTCTCGCAGGCGTACGATCTGCAGAGCGGGGGTTGGGGGTGACAATTCTGTGCAGATCCAATTCCAGGTTGGCTCACCTTGTAAAGGTCCCTGGGAGGTTTCACCTGCGAGCTAGGGCTCAGTAACCTGTGGGTGGGACAGATTACCCAGATCCCACAGCAGAAGGTGGGTGGGCATGCCCTCCCTAGCCAGCACAGCCGCCTAGGTCCACCCTCCCCCACCTCCTGCACATGGCCTCAGGCCCCATGCCTGGATGCTCACCTCCTGCTCTAGCGTCCTGGTGCTCCGGCTCTCCTCCTCCTCCTCACTGCCCTGGGCCTGAGCCTGAGCCTGCCGCTCCCGGGCCTCCAGGTCTAGGCACAAGGGTTAAATGACCCCATGGCTGGTCTGAGAAGTTTCTACATGGCCTCTGCCCACCCAGTTCTGGCTGCTTCCCCAGTCTCACATAGGATGACACCATACAGTAACTTTGGCCGCTCCCTCCATGCCCATGTGCTCCTCAATTAATTTCCATTGGGAAATGTCACAGCATGGAAGAAGTATAGGTTCCAGCTGCGTGGCCAGGGTCTGGAAGAGTTAAATCAGCTCACACTGACCAAGCTGGTTCTCTGATCAGTGAACAGGGTGTGGGTGGGTGCTTATGTCAGCAGCCCAGGGCCATGTGGCAGGGATACCTGTGGGTGGGGCTGCTGGCCTCTTTTCCTGTGGTTTGGCACCACAGCCTGACCTGCGACCTTGCCTTGGCTTTGCTGCTTTTCCCACCACTGAGCTCAGGTAGCCTGCTTCACCTCTCCCCGCAGCTCATTTACCAAGCCCCACTGTGGACCCAGCTACAGCGGCTCCTAAGGAACGGCAGATTTTGTGCAAGGTCCTGGAGCCCTTCCTGCCTTCCAAGGGAAACTTGTTTGTGGCCCTGTGCAAGGCCAGCTGCTGTGACAAACCCTTCTCTCAGGCCTGGGACTCACTGCTTTCTTTTCTGTGTACTTTACTTACTTAGAATCTCCAATTTGTTTGTTTTTGATAGATGGATGTACTGGGATGGTATATGTGTATGTACATATTAAGTATATGGATATCAAGTAGGCGAGAAGAAGGGGAGAAAATCAAGTGAAGAATGCCTGGACCAATCTTACTGGAGAGATGGAAATGTTCTAAAATTGATTTACAGTCATAGTAGCTATGTTTGGTAAGTTTACTAAAATTATTGAATTG